CTTCTTTCCACAGGTGCCCGATGTCTTTGAAGCATTGTTAAGTACAGTTTCTAACGCGGTATTGTTAGATCAAGTAGAGTGAAAAGGTTTTGCTCCATACAATGCAGGTGCCACAACAGTATAAAATCAAGATCTGTTTAAGAGTTTATCCACGTCTATAGAAGAAAGGCGAAAATGCAACTGCAAGGCAAAAATCTAGCAGAGTGTTACGTATCTGAAAATATTCATTAGGAAATGAAAGGAAAGTTTATAACCGCTAGAATGTCGGTATTCCTTCACTTTCATGACTGGACCAAATGGCGGTGCAGTACGCTACGAAACCTTATTTTGGAGAAATCTTGCGTTATCCGACACTTTTCGGCATACAAACAATACTTTGATGTTTTGTGTAAATCTTGTCTACGGTAAAATCAGTTTATGTAATATCTCTCTCTCTCTCTCTCTCTCTCTCTCATTAACTGACAGTTTAAACTGTTTATACCGTTTATATCTTTGTGATACATTTTACCGAAAATCAAGACTTTTGGACACACTGCTGAACAACAAACATTTGCATCACTCTGTCAAATATCAGTATTACAAATATTAATGGAATTGACATGGAAAAATCATTTGCCCGGCTTCGAGAGAGAATTGTTCTCAAAATCAGAAGGATTTGCATTGACAACAGAGCATTAAGTGATGCCTACGAAGAACTAAGAACAAAGGAAAACATCTCAGATAAACGCAGAATGTGCGGCAGTACAAAAGAAACGATCTAACATGTTGTTGCAGGTTGTTTAATTTTCTCTAACAACTGGAATATGAAGGAAGTAGTAACCCATAGAGGACGATATATCATCGATACAATCCGGTGAGTGTGCTCGAGGATGACAAAAGTACCATTCATTTCTACCACCTTGCCACAAGTTATGCAGCTGATCACAATCACTCAGAAGTAAAAATCTCGGACCGAAAGATAGAACAACTGAAATTATTGATACTGTTGTTCCATTGGACGAAAACCGTAGATAACGTGGGTGGAAAAAATAAAAATACCGACTCCTG